GTCTTAAATGGTAATGGGCAAAGAGACAATAATGCAAAGCCGGGATCAATGGAAGTTTTACTGCGTGTTGTTTTATTTCTGTCAAGTGATAACTGGATACCAGTGCAATGATGGTCATCTTAGGGACGCCGTAGCAAATCAAATTAAAGTTGAAATGCAAAGGTCACACGATTCTGTTAAATTCCAAAATGACATGAATTGAAACTTTTCTCTAGCCCATGAATAAGATTTACATGCCGATGCCATAAACACACAATGCAAATGTGCTTGCCTACTTCACAAGTACAAAAAACATTCCAGAATTTTTTTAAAAAATTGAGGTTCTGCTATTGGAACTCAGTTCCAGATTCCCAAGAAAGGCAACTGCACCAGCAGAACAGGGAAAAGGTGAACACTGAGATCAGGCAAAACCTTGCTATACCCCAGTACCCCGTGCACATTACCAGAACAATAAAGTATTCTCTGGAATTGTTTCCAAGGAGAAGATCACAAGCAGATCTTCTGCAAGTCACTACAGAGGAAAAAGGAGACTCTTTCTCATACCAGCAAAGGGGATGTTGGTTGTCTATTTGCATGCAGAAGATGTGAGCAGCCATGTGCCTTCTGGACTAGGGGTAGAAGAAGAGATTGCATTTATACCCCGCCCTTCACTTGGAGTCTCAGAGCGGCTTACAAACTCCTCTCCCTTCCCCTCCCCACAACAGACACCCTGTGAGGTGGGTGGGGCTGAGAGAACTCTGACACAAACTGTTCTTTTTCAAGGACAGCTGTGCCAGAGCTTGTGACTGACCCAAGGTCACATCAGCAGGTGCGAGTGGAGGAGTGGGGAATCAAACCCGGCAGTTCTCCCAGATTAGAGTCCACGCACTTAACCACTACACCAAACTAGGGGTCTGCAGCTAAGTATGGAGCCCAATGTGGCTTTAAAAAAAAACACAATTATTTAATATCAAAGGCATAGGTGGGGTGCTAGAATAATCAGTATGTCAAGGGAATGTCAGGTCAATATTTTTGAGAGTGAATGGCTCCTTAGAGATGCTTTACAGAAAAGAAAATGATAGAGGTGAATAGTTGCCAGTAATCTAAGTGCCCAGCATGCAGAGATTCAAAGAATCTCAGAGGGTGCTCCTGTGCATATTTAATACTTACCATGAGAACTCGTCTGTGTCTCTTCCTAATAAAGGACTCACGACATCCAGTGGTTGGGCTGCAGAAACTGTATGGATTATTTATCAACATTTCAATGATCAGCAGTGTTAAGTGTCATTTTCAGTCATGCAGATAGGCTTTCCTTTATTGGCTCTTTATTGATCTCTTGCTCTGAATTTGGATGTAGTTTGGCTCTTATAAAAGATTTCAGGCCCCTGTTCAGAACTGTGGGGGCTGACCCTCTACAGTCTCTTGTGTTGAACTCCTGATAGTAGTTCTACGAAGGGGAAGTTGAGATTTTTCTCGCAGAAGTCTCAGCACCACTGTAAAATTGTCATGAGCCGAAGTCTCCAGAAGAAGCCAGACTGGTCAGACCGAAGCTTTCATGTAAAGATCTGGCTAGCCAGTGAGTACAAGGGTTGGCTTGTCTCCCCCCCCCCCCCCCCTCCATTGTTTCAGCCAATGTAAAAATTCAGTCACATCGCTTAAAGACCAGTAGAAAGACATAGAACTGGTGATATACTAGCAATATAGGAACGATTCAAGATGACGGAGCAGGGTGCTATTAACAGGTGGGGTTGGTTGGAGGAGGTGTAGAGTGATTCAAAGTTAACATTGATTCAAAGTTAACATTGACACTTCTGGCTGGCTAGACAAATGGTTGATTATTGAACGCCTCCAGGCAAATAAATAAGGTCAGTAGTTCATCGCACATGGACTGGGAAAGTGCTTCAGAAGACTAAATTCTCTTCCTCTGTCTTAGATCTCAGCATCTGGTCAAATATTTGCTGCAGAGAAATGCTTTCTGGGAGTACACACAAAGCACTTGGAGTCCATTCTCAGGTTGTGTTATCTGCAGCAGCCAAAGTCCATGGCAAAATACTGGCACTTTGAACTCGTCGCCCCAAGTGACGATAGACAGCCGTCATTGTTGCATCAAACTATGGCTCAACAGCAGCAAGCAGCTCTGAGCAAGCTATTAATTTGGGAGTCATCTGAACGCCGCACTTTTACAGTAAAAATAGTGTGAAACACTGTGGAAAATGGCTTCCTTCTGTTGGAATGAAAATGTGGGAGGGCTGGCGCGTTGCCATGAAACACGGATCTTGAATTAGAAGGCAGATCTGTAGCTTGGAAATTGGGTTTGCTTTATCTCTAACAATGTTCTCGGGCCCATAAAAATAATTTAATTTGTTTTCAATAAAACCCCTTTGGTCATCACTCACCGGGGCAAGGTTAAGTTAATTATTCAGAGCTGTTATGGAGTTTAGGTATCGATTTCCACCCCCCCCGCCCTTCCCAAACCACCATCTCTGCATTTTGAAAACTCTCAATCTATGCAAGCTGTCTGGAGCTGTGAAGCATACAGGAGCTGCTCAGTTAGCAACCTTCTAATCATGGTTTCTGCTGTAGGAAAAAGTAAGGCCAAGATGCAGTTTCATTACCAGGCGTGTTCCCAGTGGGGCAATGCAGGAAATATTTGAGAAAGCTTGCGAGGTTCTGATCTGTAAAGCACATTCGTCATGCCGTCTGGACGTGGCTGAAATCTTCAAGCATGCTGCAGATGTTGGAACGGGCGTTAAGGAAATGTATGCAGTGTTCCTGCTGTACTGAAAATGCACTCTGTTATCGATAGTCTGTCTTCACCTCACCGCCCACAATACATGTGTCCATTTCTCCCTCCTAAAGCTTTGCAGAAAAGGTGTCCGACATGGAGGATAAGTTCCTCAGGGGCCGTGGTGGCCAAAGGGAACCTCCACGTTCAGGGGCAGGAGGACTCTGAATGCTGATGCTCGGAGGAGGGTTGCCAGTTCTGGGGTGGAGAATTCCTATAGCCTGGGGTGGACCGGGACCTCAGTGGGGTATAATGTCCCTGAGGCCGCCCTCCAAAGCAGCCGTTTTCTCCAGTTGAGCTGATCTCTGTTGTCTGGAGATCAGCTGTGATTCCAGGAGATTACATTACATTACATTACACATTTGACTTATATACTGCTCCTTCCCGGAGGCTCGGAGCGGTTTACATAGACATTTAAATTACCTAACTAGGGCCACAGTGCAAGGGGAGGGGGGAGTGCCCACCAGGCACCTAAGCAGCCGTGATCTTCTTCTTACGTTCTTTTTCCGTGGCGGGTTCTTGCTGTATTCAGGCGACGGTGTCTCGGCGGAGGTCTCTCTCACATCGACTCCTTCTAGGGTGGTCCTCACGGTGAGCGGCGGCGCGATGACTGCAACCGCTGGTCTCCGTCCCGCAGGCTCCGACCACGCCACGTCACCACGCTGCCACCAGATCCCCCTTGGCCCCATCACTCCAACATGATTCAGAAAGAACAAGCATTTCAACCCAAACGAATCTTATACCTTCGAAATACCGGGAAATAAGAACATAAGAGATGCCAATGTTGGATCAGGCCAAAGGCCCATCCAGTCCAACACACACAGTGGCCAGAAATACCAGTGCCATCAGGAGGTCCACCAGTGGGCCAGGACAGTAGAAGCCATCCCACTGTTGACCCCCCCAAGCATCAAGATGACAGAGCATCACTTGCTCCAGAGTCCCTATCTATACCTTGTGGCTAATAGCCACTGATGGACCTCTGCTCCATATGTTTATCTAATTCCCTTTTGAAGCCGTCCATGCTTGTAGCCGCCACCACTTCCTGTGGCAGTGAATTCCAAGTGTTAATCACTCTTTGGGTGAAGAAGTACTTCCTCTTATCCGTTCTAACCCAACCGCTCAGCAATTTCATGGAGTGTCCACGAGTTCTTGTATTGTGAGAAAGGGAGAAAAGTACCTCTTTCCCTACCTGCTCTTTCCCATGCATAATCTTATAAACCTCAATCATGTCACCCCTCAGTCGTCGTTCACTTGTTTATAACTTATGGTGGGAATACTTGCGTTGCAGTTCTGCTATTGTTTTATGACTTCATATATTGTTGTTTGTGTATTGCTTTCCTAGATTTTGGAATTTGTTTGTGGCATTGCATAGTTCACCTGTTGATCTTTTTGCTGTATTTGGATTTCACCAATAAAATTTAATTTTAAAAAAAGAAATAGAAAGAACAAGCATGGTTTGGTATCATGTCTGAATTAACAAACTGTGGGGCTGGATCCCATGGAGGATTTCTACTGATGGAAGGAGCTTCGTCAGTGGAGCATCATTTCTTTGCTTCCCTGCTCCTAGTGCAGCCAGCAAAATGCGGTTCTTTTCCCTCCAGGAGCAGCATTTCAGGTTCCAGTGGGAGGGAAAAGGTGAGGAAGGCAGAAATCTTTCCGTCAGCGGAAATGCTTTGTGGGATCCAGCCCAGGGTTTGCAGCCAGCCCATCATACTTTTCAGACCTGGATTTCTTTGGGTTGGCAAACTGTGGCTTGTTCTCACTGTAGGATTTTTTTTTAAGCGTGATGCACGTCTGAATTGATAATCGAGAGCTGTGATGTCAGCTCAGCTTCCGGGTCCCCTGTACCATAGAGCTGGGACTGCTTGGACAGGTGGGAAGCAAGCAGACCGTGGCATGGGTGTGCAGGGAGCAGTGTCTTGAAATGAGCTTTTTGTCCACTGCTTACAAATATATAAAAATCCTGTGACTCTCTGCCCCCCCCCCAAGATTTCTGACTTTCGATTCCTAATTAAAACGTCAGGGTCTTCACAGACGCTGACTGTCTGCCTTCCGAGGCACGTATCGCCACGAGTCACGGAGGCAAAAAAATATTTATCCGAAGCCCTGTTGATTTCAATATGGAGTGTTGTTAATGAGAACGGTAGGAACTTTGAGCTCCAGTGGAGACTGGAAAGCTGCATCTGTGTAAATTTCCAAGTCAAATTGGCTCTTATTGTATGTGTTTCATTTGCAGGCTGCTACAGTATGACCTTCCACTGACCCGCTCTGGAAGAAGCGCAGCTTCCTCATGTGCATCCTTTTCTTTAAGTTTGACCCACGACCTGTTTCCAAAAATGCATACAGGTAATTTCAATTCCGGCTATAGTCTCTTATCTAAATGTTTGCTGGCGCTGGTATATGAAAGACAGCTCAGTGCACTGGCTTAGCAATGCTGTTCGTAACTTTAAATCAAGACTGCTATTTGTCTCCTCAATGGAAAGCCATTTTCGTGTATAGAACATGGGCCTCTTTTTCTGATGCCTAATACACGGGAGAGCGGAATCTGGTACACAGGAGAGTACAGTCTGGCACACTTCATATCTGTGTCTGTAATGTTTTTACCTGTGCCTGTCAGGAGACGGGATTATAGTCCTTTTCAGAGGTTTAAATGTACTTGCTGTGTGGTTGGGTCAAGCTCACATTTGCGTGTTGTGGCTGCTGTAGTGGCCACTGCATGTGTTAAATCCAGTGCACTTTGGCTTGATAACATGTAATCCATTAAATCCCAGCCACCCAACCATTTTGCCAATTGTTGATCCTATGCATGTTGATGGTGTACGAATGAGAACACAGTGAGTAGAGGCAGGCCAGCCCTGGTGGCAGGTGAGCACAGTACTGCTACTTCTCCAAAGGCCAAGTGTATGTATTTAATATAGTAATGTCTTTATTGTATTTGGGCTTCCAAGGTGTCCTCTCTGTTGTATTTTCGTCCTGCCCTTTCTCCAAGGTGGAGTCTGTGATTCTCCCTCTGTTTCTTCCTCTCCACTAGGGGAGGTTAAGCTGGGAGTAACAGGACCAGAGTCTTCCAGTGAGCTTTCACAGCTGAGTAGAGATTGGAACCTGGGGCTCCCTTATCCAGCATTGCCCACCAACCCTCACTTGACTGCTGCTGGTTGACATCTTGTGTTTCTCACTTCCGATGTTCAAAGTGCTTCACCTGCATTGCCTTAGAACAATCCCTGCAGGGTAGGCAAGCATTCTTCATGCCGCAGTCCAGGCTCCACAACAGGATAGTCCCTGTATACATGCATCTCAAGGGATGTGTGTAGAGAGCCTGGGTTTAGAATGCTGTACCAGTATGGTCATGTTTTTCTTTGTGGCGTAGTGACACTGTTAAGTAATCCACAGTGTGATACAGTAGTTACAGTGTTAGAGTGACATCTGGGAGACCCGCATTCGAATCCCTACTCTGCTCTGGAAGCTTGCTGGGTAACACTGGAAAATAAAGCAGTGGTCCAATGGCACCTTAAAGACTAACAACATTTATTTCAAAATTTGAGTCCAGTGGCACCTTTAAGATCACCAAAGTTTTATTCTGGGTATGCACACTTCATCAGATACCATGCACACGAAACCTTATGCTCAGCATAAAACTTTGTTGGTCTTAAAGGTGCCACTGGACTCAGACTTTGTTCTGTTGCTTCAGACCAACACGGCTACCCACCTGAATCTATGTTTATTTCAGTTTGAGCATTTTGAACATAAGAACATAAGAGAAGCCAATGTGGGATCAGGCCAATGGCTCATCCAGTCCAACACTCTGTCACACAGTGGCCAAAAATACCAGGTGCCATCAGGAGGTCCACTAGTGGGACCAGGGCACTAGAAGCCCTCCCACTGTTGCCCCCCCCAAGCACCAAGAATACAGAACATCACTTGCTCCAGACCGAGAGTTCCTATCTATACCTTCTCGCTAATAGCCACTGATCGCCCTCTGCTCCAGATGTCTATCCAATTCCCTCTTGAAGCCGTCCATGCTTGTAGCCGCCGCCCCCTCCTGTGGCAGTGAATTCCATGTGTTAATCTCTCTTTGGGTGAAGAAGTACTTCCTTGAATCACAGCTCATTTCTTCATATAAGTATGTGAAGGGAAATCATAGCGTGAATCTTACGGGGAAGATTATGGGGGGAGGGGGATCGTCCGTATAATGAGAATTCCCAGTACAGTTTTTCTTCATATATCTATCTGAAGAAGTGGGCTGTACTCATGAAAGCTCATATTGAACTACATGTTGTTAATCGTTAAGGTGCCACTGGATGTTTTGTTTTATTCTGCCACAGCAGGCTAACACAGCTACCCCTCTGCAGTCACCATGGGTGGTCTCGGGCCAGTCGCTCTCCCTCAGCTTGACCTGCCTCACAGTGTTGTCACTGCAGAAACAAAATGGAGGAGGGAAGAATGATGTCAGTTGCTTTGGGTTCTCATGCGGGGGAAGGTACAGGCTTCTCATGGGGTGATAACAGGGTATAAAAACTAATAATTATCTGATAATTAAGTACTCTGCCTTACTCCAAAGGTTTAGGTTGGGTCATAATACACTTTTTAAAAATCCCCTTAAGAGCAAGTTCAAGCTAGTTCTGGGGGCAGCT